AACCGAAGGCAGGCACTTAACTGATTGAGCCACCCAACTGCCCCCCCAAAATGTTTAAGTATTTTGAAAATATATAAATGAAGTCAAAGTCTTCCTCCAACCTCTCATTACCCTTCCTAGGGAGAACCAGTGTTAATGGTTTCTTGTATATTTTTCGTAAATTTTCTATGCAGGTACAAGCGTATCCTTTTTTTTTTTTTCTTTAATACAAAAGGGATAAAATGAAGCACCCTGTTGTGCATCTTCCATTTTTCACTTCCTATTTCCATATAAATAATTCAGATCTACCTAACCATTCCCCCCCCCCCCAAATAGGTGTATACTGTCATCTATAAAATAGAGTCCTGACCTGCTTCATAATTTAACAACAATTACTTTTGGTGAATTAGGTTGTTTCCAGTCTTTCTCTTTTATGAGCAACACTGCTATGGACTTCTCTGTGCATATATCTTAGTGCATTTCTGCAAAGAAAAGTGCAGGATAAATTCTTGGTAGATCATAGGATTTGTGTCTTAACAGTTTGCATATTAGTGACTAAATTGCCTTCACAGAGGCTTCCCTGATCTGCACACTCACCATTTACTCAAGTTCTTGCTAACATTGTATATAATAAATATCTTTCTATTTTCCAGCCCGTTAGGCAAAACTTAATGTCTCACTGCTATTTCAATTTGCATTTCTTTAATTATGAGACAGGTATCTTTTCATATGCTAATGAGTCATTTGATTACTCCCCCTCCCCCAACTGTTATCTTGTGTCCTTTGCTGAGTTTTCCCCTGGGATATTGGTCATCTTTTATTTCTTTGAAGGAGCACTTATTCAACAAAAGAAATCAATCCTATCTCTGTCATTAGTGTTACAAAAATATTTTTCCCTCCGCTTAATTATTTTTCTTTTGAGTTCATTTATTATTTTGGCTTTTATTCTGATTTATTCTGATTTATTCAAATTTCCATGATAGTTCCTAAAGGACAGCCAATCCTTTGGATCTCGGTTATCTGACTCATACATTCAACAAATATTTATTGAGCATTTACTATGTGTTAGGTATTGTTTTAGGTTCTGAAAATAGAGAAGTGAAAAAAAAATAATCACAAATCTTTGTTCTCTAGGAGCTAGTGGGAGAAAAGTCAGATAGCCCCAAACCAGAAAAGTAAAATATATAGAATGTTAGATGATGGTAAAAGCTAAGGAGAAAATAAAGCCAGGGAAAGGAACAGGAGTGTCCTGGGGTCAGGGTGGGGTTTGCTGGGTGCTGGCGATGGTGATGGGTAGGGTGGCAATTGAAAATTTGGATTTTCAAAGCTATACTTACCATGAAGGTGACATTTGAGTGAAGATGTGAGAAGAGCAAAGGGAATGAACCACACAAATATCTGGAGGAAAGCATTTTGACTGATAAAGCAGCATGTGCAAAGAGTTGGTGATAATAGCGAGGTGGTCCTTAGGACTTGTGGTCAGAGGTGAAGGGGAGTCAGAGGTGAATGGCAAATTGTTGGACACTGTGGGGTTTAGAAGCCAAGTGACCAGTGTGGAGCCTGTGATTCTGATAAATGTGATAAATGATAAATGATGGTTGCTTGGACCAAGGTGATGCCAGGAGAGGGTTGAGAATTTGGATTCTGGAAGGCTCCAGTTTTGGTCTGGGATTGGGAAGGGACACATTTGTAATTACATAATCAAAAGTCCAGCTTTGGACGTATTGAGTTTTAAATGCCTACGAAGCATCAAGAATGGATGTCGAGAAGGTAGTCGAAGATATGGGTCTCATGTTCAGCAGAGAGTTTCAGAGTGGTAATAAAATTTGGGAGTCATTAGCTTGGAGATGATGTTTGAAGACATGAGGATGAATGAACAAGGAAATGAAGAGAGATAGACAAGTAGTCATCCAAGGACAGAGCCCTGGGACTCTTTCCATATAGTGGTGGGAAAACCAGGAGCGTGTGGTTGATCCATAGCCTATGACATCTGGGGTGAATCTGAAGAGCTAAGGGTAGGAAATGGGGTACCAGCAGAAGGACCAGTGTGTGAAAGGCCTGGAAGTGAAGAAAAGCATGGTCTAGGTCAGGGTTGTAAACTGAGGGCTGGTACATCTCGTTTGGCCCATGAATATATTTTGATGGGCCCATGCAGGTTTTTTGTTTGTTCATTTGTTTTGGTGGAATTGGTTGCTAACATTTGAAACTGGGGATTTCACATTTTTAAAAATTTGGATATCTGCCATCTCTTGGATCATCAGTCTATCTGGCAATACTGGGCTCACATTCCCACAGAGCAACCCTTGGCTGTTGTGAAATACCTGCTACCCACTTCGAAAGCACTGTGTAGTTTGCTGCAAGGCTCCCCTGGCCTGCTTCATTCATTGGTAGTACCCGTTGCAAAAATCCGTGCCCTCAAGTTTATAAATAGGAGCTTCTTTCATATGTGCACCTCTTCAGCCCACCCACAGGACAAGGTGTTGGAGCTAACCTCTGCTATGCCCACCTTCCAGGCTGGGTGACAGGAGACCTGGAGTTACGTTCTGGTTCTATGACTCACTGTGCAACCTGAGTCAGTCCTATAAATAAGGTGTCCAAATGTCCTGGTTGGCCCAGAACCATGGGGTTTCCCAGGATATGGGACTTTTTGTGCTAAAACCAGGAAGGGCCCAAGCAAACCAAGATGGGTTGATTGCCCATCTCTTCATTTGAACCCCCCCTGGTCCTCAGAGTGGAATGACGGACCTCAAAACTCTTTGTGTTTTTCCCTAGTATATTGACATACTCCTTAAAACGGGCTGAAGATGAAACTTGCAATAGAAAAAAAGACTAGGGTTTGAAGTCAAAATTTTTTTTTAAGTCAAATTTTTATAATAGAAATTACAGACAGGCCTTGATGACCACCATCATCATCATCAGGATTATTTCTGTAGTTATAATAATGGGGGAAAACACTTGCTCCATGTCAGACCCTGGACCAGGCATTTTGCAAGCATTGACTTACTTCATACTAGGAGTAGCCCCTTGAGGTAAGGACTTTTGTTATCCCCTAATAGAGACGAAGAAGTTGAGTCTACTTATGTAAGGCCACAGAGCTAGTAAGTGAGAGCCAGGATACAAACCCAGGTCTGCATGTCTCCAAAGTCTGCAGTATTTTGACCAGTGTCAAAAATCCAAAGAGAAACGACTCTTCTATGTGGCTGCCATTGCTTGGGTTGGTTGCTGGCCGAACAAAGCACTTTGCCCTACAGTCCTCCAGGTCAAAACTTCCTGACAAAGACCTTCCTGTGCCCAGCCAGCGCAGGAAGTCAGGGCCCAGCCAGGCTCGATGAAACGTTGTCTTCTATCTACCACATTCTAGTTATCTTGTTTTATGATGAGTGGCTTAATATCCTGGCAACACAAGCCCCACATTTTATTTCCCTCCTGGCTTCTGAAATTTGCAACCAAATGAGAAGTGGTTTGGGCTCATTATGGAAAAACCCTCATCTGCAAAGCAGAGCTGGAATCAGAACGAGCCCACTTGGCTGCCACTCCCTTTCATGGATGTAGATTTAATTAGGCCTCTGTGTAACACAGGCTTGGGAAAGCTCTCTCTTCGGTTGGTCTTATGGAAAGTGCTTCCTTCCTCCTCTCCAGGGTTCCACAGTGGGTGAGGAGAAGGGAATTGTTTCCTGCTGTCTGAAGCTGAACTGTGAGTCCCAAGGATGAGCCTCTGAGCTATTTTTTTTTTCTGTGGGAGTCATTTGACAGCTTACCTAGAATCCAAAGCCATGTGCAAGCCTGATCAGAGGTGAGGGACATGAGCTCCCTTTCTGTTCACCTTTTGGGAATTTTGACATCCTTGGAAGGCCTAGAACTCTGGTTCCAACCCCTCTGATAAAAAATATGCTTCTTATGGCTTCTCCCCTATTGATTCTATCCACCTCCTCTCTTTCACTGATGACCTTGGGCCTTTGCAGACCTTATCCCCTTATTGTTCCTTCACTTGACTAATCCCTACTCATGCTTCAAGAAACGTCTCTTTTTTGGGAGCCATTCCCAATCCTTTAGGCTAGGCTAAATCCTTCTGGTTCCATGGTGCACTGTGGCTACCTTTCCTTAATCCCTCCCTGTCCCAATTGCAATTTGTTTTAATGACTCTCTCCTAGTCATCTAGAAGGCTCTATCAAATAATAATTTTCAAAAAGTCGAAAACATGACTTTCATACAAATATAAATTGAGCACAGGTCAGGATTTTTATTCGACTGTTTAATGAAAGAATCAGTAAAAAGGTAAAACTTATTCAAGGAACATTTTGAAGAACTAGATATTTATAGGCTTTTTGGAAAGAAGAAATTAGAATAAGATTGCTAGTTAGATAAAATGGAGTCATGTCCTATAGGACAGTAGGACTGTAATCTTTAAGGCTATCTTTTCCCTTGCATAGAAATCTGTAAGATGACATGCAACTTTACAGTATTTGATCTCCAAAGAATAAAAAGCAAAGTCAATACAGATACATTCTCTAAAAGAATTGGATAAATCTTGAGTGAGCAGAACTGTTAGTGCTGTAACATGATATCTACATGAGATGCTATAGTATTTATTTTTTGTCCTTATTTCTGAATTTTGGATATTTTTCTTTCTTTCTTTTTTTTTTTTTTAAAGATTTTATTTATTTATTTGCCAGAGAGAGACAGAGCACACAAAGAAGAGGGAGTGGGAGAGGGAGAAGCAGGCTCCCCGCTGAGCAGGGTGCCCAATGTGGGACTCGATCCCAGGACCCTGGGATCATGACCTGAGTTGAAGGCAGATGCCCAACCGACTGAGCCACTCAGGCGTCCCTAAATTCTGGGTATTTTTTCTCATCAGTCCGTATGGTCAGAGCCTCTTTTGTGATGATGCTCTAATATCTAACTCAGTAGCTGGCATAGGATTTTTGCCATGGTCAAGATCTGGTGGAGAAGTTGCCACCTACCTACTGAAATCACAGAACACTATGTAGCAAACTAATGCTTGTATTCGTCAGCTCAGGCTGCCAGAACAAAATGGCCTGGACTGGATGGCTTAAACAACAGAAATTTATTTTCTCGCAGTTCTGGAGGGTAGAAGTCCCAAGATCAAGGCTCCTATGATTCATTTCTGGTGATAACTCTCTTCCTGGCTTCCAGAAAACTGCAATCTCACTATGTCCTCACCTGGTGTTTCCTCAATGTGTATACACAGAGAGAAAGAGAGAGAGAGAGAGAGAGAGAGAGAGCTCCCTGGTGTCTCTTTCCATGAAGGACACTAGTCTTATTGTATCGGGGCCTCTCCTTTATGACCTCATTTAACCTTAATTACTTCCTTACTCCAAGTACAGTCACACTGGGGGGTTAGGGCTTCAACATATGAATTTGGCAGGGGTGGGGGGGTTGGGGGGTGGGATGGGTATTCACATTCAGTCCATAACATAATTCAGCCCCAATTTTTGTGGGTTTAATTGAATTGAATCAAGTGTGAATCAGTTTTATTCACTTTTATACATGACAAACTTTCAAGGCTTCTTGTTCTAGATAAACTATGCAGTTTTCAGTATTAAATTGGTGCCCATCCCATTCTGTTATCACTCTCTCTTCTGGATATACAGCAGTTTGTAGAGATCAATATTAAGTAGTGCAAGAAGGCTTTTCTCCTCTTGTGTGGGACCCAGTAATATCTATTGGCTAAAATAGTTGAGCAAATATCTGTCATTTATGTCTTCTCAACATTTATTCCCCCTTCTTCTGGTATCAGATGCTCCATTGTCCTCTGGGGAACCACACCTGCTCTGCTCTCAATCCATGTGGCTCAGGAGGGGTTCACTCCATTCTCATTTCCAGCAGTAGCCAAGAGATTGGGGTGTAGCCCACCAGAGCACAACGACCTGCTAGATCTGACTGGTTTACGGTTGGGCATGTGGTTTGCCTGGGACAATCACAGCCTTACCTTGGACATTTTCTGTAGCTACCAAGAAATTGTCTTTTCTTGTAGGGATGCTCAGCTTTTATAACATAAATCTAAAGGAGCTGGTGACACCTTTTGCAGCCTTGTGGTGATATCCTTAGAATGAGGCTACTGAATGCTGGTTCCCCAAAATATCACCAAAACAACCTGCAGATAAGATAGAGATAAGCTGATTTTTATGACTATAAAGGAAAACACTACCTTGATAGAATCTTAGTAGCATCTCAGAGGAGTGAGGACAAAAATGAGATATTTATTGAGATTTTGAAGCCCATATAAGGTGAGTCCCTAATGTTAGAATTAGTAAGGGGGCAACTTACTAATTAGAATTAGTAGAGGGTGGCTCAGTCAGTTAAGCATCTGACTCTTGATTTCAGCTCAGATCATGATCTCAGGGTCCTGAGATTGAGATCTGCATCAGGCTCTGTGCTGGGAGTCAAGCCTACTTGAGATTCTGCTTCTCATTCACCCCCTGCCCCTACTTCTCTCTCTCAAATAAATAAATAAATCTTTTTAAAAATTAGTAAGGATTATGATATAATAGTTTTGGATTGGTAGACAGAACAAGATCAGAAATTTGAGATGAGGGGTTCAAAGAGTCTTGGGTATAAACTATTGTTTAATGCTTTCTATTGAAGAATTGATGGGTCTTTTGTGAAGTTCCTTGGACAAACAATAAAGTTATTCACAACTTTTATCTTGCTGGGCAAGTGTTTCCTGGAACAGTAAAATTATGTTGATGGATACAGTGAAATAGTAAAGTTATGTTAATGCAGATGGTAAGCTATGAGTATAGATGGGTTTTAGTACTCAAAGTCAATAAAGCAGAGAGATGAAAGAAATGATTCCTTTTGGCATTATTTGCATTTCTGAATCCAGGCGTACTGAAGCCAGAATATGGAATGTGGAAAATTGTATCTCTCTCTCTGCATTAGAATTACACATCCATGTCCTTTATCATGCAACCACAATACCTCCTAATAAATGGGGTAGATTAGATTTCCCAACTCTGCTGATGTTGGGCTATTCAGTTGACTGGGCTTGGCCAGTGGAATGTGGGAAGGAGTGATGGTTTCCAGTTTCCAGCACAGACCCTAAAGCATGCCTATTTCTACTCACCCCTTGTGAGCTCCTGTGATCAGTCTTGAAATGATCACCTCCAAGGTGCCACAGCCTCTTTGGCTGGGCCTCAGACTGAAGACCCATGGAGCAGGCAAAACTAATTGGAAGTCCTGAGTTCAGTCTGGCCCAGCCAAACCCAACCTCTATCGGTCCAAATGCGGCTGCCCCATACACCTATGAGAAAGAAAAATTAAAAATTAACTTTTGTTTTTGAAAGCCACTGAAATTTAGATGTTGTTTGTTACACATTACAAAGTGACTACCATTTGGAGTTCTCTCTTGGACTTTTAGGTACATGATCCAATAAATTCTTCATGTTCCTTTAATCAATTTGAGTTCGAACTTTGCTCTTTGTTTATTTATCGGGAGCCTGTTTTTAGTAGTAATTTTGTTATTTATTAACTAGAAGAGTTTTCTCCATTAGCATCTTTTTATGGCATAGCATCTCTTTTGGCAGACATGAGCCTCTAAGACATCTGGATCTTTCTCACGGGAACCACAGACTAGCCTGATCCTCTTCATACTGTACCTGACCAATTGATTTTTTTAAAGCAATATTTATCCCTGTTAATGCTCATCTTTTGGCTTGTGCCCAGTGTTCCAGTCTAGTGAGATCTTTCTCAATTTGATTCTTGCATTCTGGGGATTAGCTGTCCCATTCAGTATTTTGTCAAACACAAATTGGATCAGGATGACCATGAGAGCCTCCTCCAAGCCCTTCATTTCACTATAATGATCTTGTGCTGTTGCATTAAGACTGACCCCAACCCACACAAATAATCATCATTTAGTCCAGGTATTCTAGATGAATGCCCACAAGACAGAAATATCTTTCAGCCCCTTGTTTGAAGCCAGGAGATATTATGTAGCAGTGACCTGAAGCAAATCTTTCCTGATAATATTTTTCATATCTATCAGCAATGGCGTGACCCACTTTTCAAGCCAGTGGGTGGAAATCTCTCCTGAAAAAAATAAAATTGCCCAGCTGCTGAGTTCTAGTCCTGCCCCTGGTATAAACCAGTTGGTCTTGAGTGAGTCACTTATAGCTTTCCTCTTACTGTTATCAATTCTAAAAACAAATTTAAATCCAAAAGAACAAGGCAATTGTGAACTTATAAACATATTCAACCTACCTCTGCCTTCTAGACTGACAGTGTATAAGGTACATTTTAAAAATCTGGGGAATGTGCCTCACATCAGAGTTTCCATAATACATCCCCCAATCCAGCAGTTCACTGTGTTGCAATTTTCTGTTAGCTTGTGTATTTGTCCTGCTTATCTCTGGGCTTTTTGAGAGCAAGGATGAAGTTAATGTTGTTATCAAAACACCCAACATCATTTCTGGCACATAGTAGGTACTTAGCAAATATGTATTTGGTTGAATGAGTAGAACTTGTTCTGAAACTCTGTGTGCATGTGTGTCTGTGGGTTTGTGTTGGAACAGCTGGATAATGTTCATCATTAGCCTGAAGCATTGGCTAATGTTAAATTTAAATTAAAATATACTCTTGGGTGACTACATCTTCAATTTCATGGTTGATTCCTTTGTGATTGACTTATTAAGCTAAAGCATGAGTTGCACACTTAAATACCTCGAGGGGCCAGGAAGGAAACATAATAAATGAGGATGGTTAGGTACAACTGAAAAATACCCTGTATCTTCACAGGAATGGATACCCAGTGCTGCTAAATAGTCTACTTTTCAGAGTGGGAGGGCTTTGGTTTTTTTTTTTTTTTCATTTATAAAATGTGCTTTAAAAAATGCAAAAATTCCTGATTTTTAGATTTTTTTTAGTAGTTGCAAGCTTTAGAACATAATTTAAAATATTATGGGGCCAAATAAACACATCTGTAGCCTGGATACAACTCACAGGCCATCAATCTGAGAAAGAGAGTTAAATGTTTTACATCTGAAATGGTATTTTAGTTTGCAATGAATATTTAATTTATAATGAATAACCTTGGGTACATCAAATACATAACAAATATGTTTACTGTTGAACAATACAAAGCTTCTAACACTGGTAAGAATTCAGTTAAGGGCCAATTTTGAGGTCTGAGGTTAGATTGCAGGGCACACATCACAAAGGGTTCCCACATAGCAATTTACAGGAAAGATTATGGAATTAGAGATCAATCTTCAGCAACTTGCACATGTATTATATTAAACAAGGCAGATACTTTGAGTCAGTCTTATTTCCAAATAACTGATTTCTGTTATGGTTGAAAAGCTCCAACCACACCCCCTGACCTTGCCCCCCCATGTCCTCAATGGTTAAACATTAATATTCATTGAGGGAGATGGGTCTCTTAATTGCTTATAGCTTTCAGCCCATCAATCATTGTTCTTTTTTTTTTAAAGATTTTATTTATTTATTCATGAGAGATAGAGAGAGGCAGAGGCAGAGGGAGAAGCAGGCTCCCCGCGGAGCAGGGAGCCCGATGCAGGACTCGATCCCAGGACCCTGGGATCATGACCTGAGCTGAAAGCAGACGCTTAACCGACTGAGCCACCCAGGTGTCCCTCAATCATTGTTCTTAGTTCATCCCACTCAGTTTTGTAACTACTAGTCAAGCCTGTTGAAATTATCTGATGTATTTGCCAAGATAGAAACCAGAATGGCTCCTCAGAAAAATGGCCATGTTAATCAAACCCTACAACTTGCAGCAAGCAGAAATTCACCCGATGGTTTTGTTTTATTAACCATTAACTGAAAAACATATTTAATATTCATGCCTAATTGACCCTAGATATCAAATTGATAAAATATCATATAGCATTAAAACACACACAACAAGATATTCAAGTAATTCTGCAAGGTTATGTCTAAAGGAACTACAACGATGTGGATGGGGCTAGAGAGTATTATGCCAAGCAAAATAAGTCAGTCAGAGAAAGACAAATACCGTATGATATCACTCATGTGGAATTTAAGAAACAAAACAGTCATAGGGAAAAAAAAAGAGGCAAACCAAGAAACAGACTCTTAACTATAGAGAACAAAATGATGGTCACCAGAGGGGAGGTGGGTGGGGGGATGGGTGAAATAAGTGTTGGGGATTAAGGAGCATACTTGTCATGATGAGTGCTGGATGACAAATGGAAGTGTTGAATCACTTATTGTACACCTGAAACTAATATAACACTGTATGTTAACTAACTGGAATTTAAATAAAAACTTTAAAAAGAAAATAAAAGGACTATTGTGTCTCAGGCTTTGCCTCCCTAGGAACCTGAATTTAATTCAGAATTTATTTTATAATAAAATAACTTGACTTACATATTATTTAATTAATTAATTTAAAAGGTATCTAATAATCAATAATCTTAATTACTAAAGGTAGAATTCTAGATTCCTGAGAATGTGAATTCCAGTAAGGACAAAAATGGTGGGAGAATGAAGACACGTGGAACTGAGTGGAGTGTAAAAATGGGTCCTCACCCACAGCTGGAGTCTGATCACTTATGCCAGTGCCTGTCAATTTGTAGAGAAGAGTGGCGATGCTCTAATGAGAATGATTTCAAGACCACACACTGATTTAGAGGGGAAGACTACTGTAATGGATTAGTAATGTCTGCTACCGGCATAGAAGGAAGGAATGGTGGTGTGCATGCCACGTCTACGCTACCTGTGGCCTAAGTACAATAATTAGAATATTTACGTAAAATTGTCAAAAGTTTTAATTTTCCTGGGACCGTCTCAGTTTATGCCTGTCATGTCAATTAATCCCTGTTAATTATGCACAGTCCCTCCTTCATTTTCAAGAGTGTCCTAGTCTGGATAAGAAGTGATAGATAGCCACCCAGGAAAAATTTTTGCATTATTCTCATTAGTTCATTTTCTTACTCAAGAAATATTCCTAAGTCCTTTCTGTTGGGCCTCGATCCTTCATGATTAGCTGCAATCTTCCTTTCCCTAGATCAGGGTTTTCTCAATATTCTGTTCAAAATATCTCAACAAAACACAGCCTTTGCTTCTTTAGACACATGCATTATTCCACACTTTCCATCTGAAGCACTCTCCAGTATATTCTGGAATACAACCATAAACTCACACTCCTCAGTCACTCCTATATCTCTGATAATTCTCCCCACCTTCCTCCCCAAAATAGCTCTGGAAAAAAAATTAACCTCTCTTCTGAATGGAGCTCATTTGTATTTTCTGCCATACCAGGTATCCTGTCTATGTCAAACAGTGTTGATTTTTAAAAGCCCAGATTAGCCAAACACTGAAGAAATGCATGTCTCAGATTTTTTTCCATGCCAGATTCCTGGGACTTTAAGATTTTTGATTGTGTCTGGACTTTCTGATTGGATTCCCAAGGATGGAGCCTAGGTCCTTTAAAATAAACACTCATCACAACTGAAGTTCGGAGCTGTATTTGTTCTAACAGACACATCAGTCACTTTGTTTGCTATGAGCAGGCTCTAGGATAAGCCAGTTTCTCAACCTCAGCAATATTAACATTTGGAGCTGGATAATTCTTTGTTGGATGGGACTATATATGTGATATCTGGTGGCATCCCTGGCCTCTACTCACTGGATGTTAGTAGAATTCCCTCTCCCCCAAATGTGAATGTGGCAGGCATGGAGCCTGCTGAAGATTCTCTCTCTCTTGCTCTCCCTCTGCCCTACCCCCCCCCACTTGTGCTCTCTCTCTCTCAAAAAAAAAAAAAAAAAGAAAGAAAGAAAAGAAACAGTAAAAAGTCTAGAGGGGATGGAAAGTTGAGTGCATTGGGGAGAGTGTCAGGGAGTCAGAGATGGTGGAGGCAGATTCAAGCCTAGTCTAGAAACTTACTAGGAAATGGAGTTGGACTTCATCAGCTGAGCAGCAGAGAATCACAGAAGACTAACGAGAGGGATATGGTCAGATCCAGGCTTCAGAGAGACAACTTGGGTGTTGGCTAGAAGCAGGACAGCAAGGTGAACATCATTGTCTTTGGAATCAGGCTGCCCGGGACTAGAAGCTTGTTCTGCCATTGACTAGTATATGGGACCTTGGGCAAACCATTTCTTTTCCCTAAATCCCTGTTTCCTCCTCTACAAAATGAGGATGATAACCCTATCTACCCCACTGGCTTGTTGTAAGGAGTAAACAAGTTAATCCATATAATGTGCTTAGAGTATCTGGATGTAATTGAAGCTCATTAAATAATTATTCTTTTTAGATTGCAAAGGGGAGCAGGGCTTGAGAATGAAGGCAGGGAGGCCAGTCTAGAGAAGGCAATAAAACATGATGGGGCATGAGACAGCACAGCAACTGAGTGATGGGTCAAAGATGGGTTCGTTCCCACCTGAATTGAGTTGACTCAAGAAGTTTGCATTCTCCAGGCTCCCAGCAGCAAGGGACCCAGTTCTCCAAACAGATGCACCATCCCTGGATGTCTCACCACGTCCATCTCTGGACAGTCCTTTGCAGGAATTTTCCACCGCCTCCAACCTCCCTTGACAGTGTGAGCCTGTTATCTGATCGCTCTTTGTTCAGAAAGAGTTAATTAAATGTGGATCCACAGTTGGAGAGTACCTCTTAATATCGTTCTGCCTTGTCTGAGTGTTCCCTTTCTTTTCTGCAGCCTACCTTCTGTTCTGAGGAAGAGGGGCTACAAATGACCTGCTTCAGGACCAAATAACAATTTAATAGAGTAGAGATTCATTAAGACATTGCTGATGGTGGCTCTAGTCTCCAAATGGAGAAACAGCCTGGAGGAATTCAATTTTCTACCAGTTTTCTGACCTCAATTTACAAGACAGAATTAAGTTCTGGAAACCAGAGGACAGAAAAAAATAATGAAACTACTGGCTTTTAATCACTGGTAGAATCATGAGGAGTTAGTAGACCTCTAACCTTATCATTCAGTTCTCTCTTTTAAAGAGAACTTTATCAGGAGCAGATAGCCTGATGCGATTGCTATTTCCCTTCATTTTCAAAATGTATTCTTTCAAAGATATTTTCAAAAAACAAACCATGTGCCATGGCAGTGCCAAGTCTTGGGAAAACAGTGATAAACAAGACCAACCTAGTCCTTGTGCTCACAAAGCTTACTTTCAGGGAGAGCCAGACAACAAAGAGGGAACTACTAGGAAAATTGTGGCAATTACTATAAAGAAAATGAGCCAACTTCTCTTTATGTAGCTCAAGGAAATGAATCCCAATTTTAAACACGATTCTCAGGGTTTTTCCCCCCCACATCGTAAATGTATGAAGCTGACAGACAATTTCGTACCCACCTCTGACAGTTTTTGGAATTGACTTAAATTGATTGAGACGTGGGTTAATGACCCAGAGTTATTATTTGCTTTCCTACCTAGCTAGAAAGCCAAGGCTCAGAAAAAGAAAAGGGAAACTTTTCTTTGTTTTAGATTCTCCAGAGCTAGATGAAGTCTGGTTTCTTAGGACATGTTGGAAGAACTTTAGCAACAATAGTTAACCAGATGTTAGGAGAGAGAGCCCTGAAGTCAGATGCTCGGGTCCAAGCTGGGCTCTACCACTTACTAGCGTGCAACTTTGGGCAGGCTCATGCATCTTCCCATGTTGTCCCGGTTTGTGAAATGGGATGATATTCCACTTCTTACAGCTTTTGTGACAACTGAATGAGGTTCTGCATAAAAAGCTTGGCAAAGTGTCTGACACATATGACACATTAAAGAAAGAATATAGCGGATACAGGAGGTTTGCTATATTGTCGGGTGGGGTGGAGGTTACTGACCTGGTCTCTGAGCAGTAGCAACTGGCAACAAGAGATAGTAGGTTCAAATCCAAGTTTTCTAGCTCCTAGCAATATGAGTTTGGGCAATTCAGTTCCTCTCTCTAAAGGCCGACTTCCTCCAGGGATAACAATGACCATCTCTGGAGGCTGTGGTGAGGATATGAAGAAGACATGTTTGTAAATCATCTAGCATGGAGGCCAGTCCTCAACACATGGCGAAGATCATCATCATCATCATCATCATCATCACCAGGGTCTATTGTTTTTGCTACTTAGCATGCTTTTTCCATTTTTATCTGCCTTAGGTTGTGTTGCTTAGAAGCAGAATTTGCAATTGGGATTCTTGTGCAAATGGTTATTTGAGTGCGTGCTCTCAGGACAAACCTGTAATGGGGTAAGAGAAACAGGAGAGGGTTGGAAAGTTGGGGATGCCAAGAAGTGGTTCCAGGGGATGCCTAGTCTTAGCTGGATCCTAGAGCGAGCTCTGGTGCATGAACTGTAGCACGGAGTTTGCCCTCTCCAGATTTATACCCCTGTATCAATCAGTCATTCGTTGCTGGCCACTCCTGGGAGAAGGACCCAATTCCCCAAAGCTGTCAGTGAGAAGGCATCTACCAAACAATCCTCCAGAGAAGTGCGGTATGAGCTGTTAACAGCCAGTGGTGCAGCAGCTGGGAGATGGCTGCATGGGCCTTGCATTGAGGATTTGGGAGGGACACCAAGAGCACCTACTGTGCCCTTCTAATGCACTTTGATTTTCTTCTCAGGGCCCCCTCCCCTACTCTCATTCTGACCCCAGCTCTATAAGCTTGTGACCTGGGAACTGGCCAAAGGAAGTATGGGATGTGTCTAGCCATAGTGATTGGCTCCGGGATGATCATGTGATCTCATGAAGTCAATGAGACCCAAGGAAACTTTTGCTAGGTGTGAATGCTGGGAGAGAGCTTCCGGCTCCTTTCTGCAAATATGGCTAGCAATCGTGGGTTTGTAAGCTGGGCCAGCCGGGGGCCAAACATGGGGCAGGAGAATGAAGATAGCCCAGTGAATGGTAGTCAGGTGATAGAAACCAGGGAGCACCCAACTAAATCCCTGGGTCAAGACATGCCTGAAGGTTACTCTACCCTTGTACTTCCAAGTTAAGTGAGCCCATTTTTTCCCTCTCCCTTTTGCTTAGTTCTCTGACCTGGGAGTTCTTGGTACCTGCAACACAGAGTCCTGACTGATATCATCACTGTAATGGACCCAGAAGCACTGCAAGTGAGAAGCAGTCAATCAATTTATAGGATCATTGTTGTTATGTAAATAAAGTTCTCTTTTGACTGAGTGAACAGCGGCTTCCAAAGCCAGGGCAGCTTTCCAAATTAGGTTTTCATTGTCTCGGGCAAAGAAGAGGCGTATTAGGCAGCTCAGAGAGCACTAATGCTGCCCCTAACTCTGAGAGACAGGTTTTCCTGCCAGCTTTGAATGACCGCCCAGGTCAGGTGCTAGCAAAGTGACCTTCAAACAAAGTAACTAAGACAAATCTGACAGCCCAAATGGGGGGGAGGGATGGACTCACTTCAGAAGGAGAAGCAGACAAAGGCAGAGCGGCGGAAGCAAACGGGCAATGTCTTGATCCTGTTAGAAGATAAACTGAGGCACACTTAGCATTTCAGGAGTTTATTTGAGCTAACCTCTGTTTGAATTAGGCAGCACCAGAGGGGAAGTGGTTAGGAGTCCACCAACCACAGACAGGAGCCAGAGGAAAGACTCTTGCAAGGAAATGATTGGATTCACCACAGCTCCCGTGGTTGCCTTATTTGGGAAAGGCTGGTTGGCTGATCGTGACTGGTTGTCCTTAGTTTTCCATGACTTGACCTTGAGGCATCGAAGGCTTAGGCTTTGCTGGCTTATGTAGGTTACTAAGGCTTTAAAGCCACCTCAGCCTAATGACCTCCTTGTTTAATTAATTAAAAAAAAAAATGAAAACCCCTTTTAATCCACACAAAGAAAACCCCTTTTAATCCACACAAAGGATTAGTGATAAGGGAAAATGCATTAATCTTCCTCATGGTTATCAGTGTTTTAAAAAAGTTTATTGGATTTTTATTTCCATTTCTTAATTTTTTTTTTTAATTTTAACTTTTTCCATACTCTTACAATATGCACTCGTATTGCCCGCTGGCCTGAAATCACAAGATCTCAAAACTAAATGAAGTCAGAAAAAGGGACACAAGAATTTGTGAAAAAAAAATAATAAAGGTGTTTGAGTCCATTAGACTGAGCTTGGTTTCTAGCCTTTCTGGACAAAACATCTTTTCTATGAGTCAATTTTGGAAACTTTGTAATGCCTTTTCTCTTAGTTGCAGGATCCTTCCAGCTTAAGGATGGGGAGGGCTCCAGAAGTTTGGGGGTGTTTAGGGACATGAGAAGTCTAAAGCCACAAGGGGAAGACTTTTGAGGAGGGTCTGCCAGAATCAGTAGAGTGATAGGTAAGAACACTAGACAAGAAGTGACGAGAAAGAAAAATGAACTTGTGGATGAGACAGTGTGGAGAGAAAGGGAGGGAAGGAAAAAGTGGTTGCTGGTTCCAGTTAGGTGGGTCCTGCTTGCCTGACCGATTGGGGTGAACTGGCCAACCATGCCTGGTATATGGTACCCCTGGCTGGTTGATGTAGCCAAGAGATATATTTTCCTCTGGCAGCATTTTTCAAAGTGCAGTTCAGGGATCACCTACATCAGCATGTCCCGAGAGACCTGTTTAAAAAAGCTGATGGTTCTTGTACTTTACCTACTGCTACTTAATCAGCATATCTGGGCATGGGACTGAGGGTTGCATTATTTTACAGCTTTATTGAAGTATAATTGACTTACAATAACTTTACATATTAAAGTATACGATTTGGGTGCCTGTGGCTCAGTCTGGTAAGCGACTTGATTTTGGCTCAGGCCACGATCTCAGCATCGTGGGATCCAGCCCTGTGACAGGTTCCATGCTCATCGTGGAGTCTGCTTGAGATTCTCTCTACGTCTCCCTCTACTCCCACCTGCTCTCTCTCTCTCTCAAATAAATAAATAGATCTTTTAAAAAAATAAAGTATAGGATTTGATGAGTTTGGACATTATAATCCATCATGAGAAATCATCACCACAATCAAGATCATGAACGTATCTGTCACCTCTGAAAGTTTCCTCAAGCCTTTTTATAATGCCTTCTTCATCCGAATACCTTCCTCCTTCATCCCGACATAACCATGGATCTGCTGTCTCTATAGATTAGTTTGCAATTTCCTAGAATTTTATATAAGTGGATACATAGCATACATACTCTTTTTGTCTGATATCTTTCACTCACTTATCTACCCATCTGATGATAGACTTTTCAGATGCTTCTATTTTTTGGCTATTAAGTGTAAAGCTTCCTTGACCCTATTTCTACAAGTCTTTGTATGGGCACATGCTTCAGTTTCTCCTTGGTACATATGAGGAGGAGAATGGTGGGGTCATCCATTAGTTGAACGTTTAAAAATTTTTTTAAGATTTATTTATTTATTTGAGAGAGAGAGAAAGAGAGAGAGAGAGAGAGTGCATGAGCAGGAGGGGCAGAAGGAGAGGAAGAGAATTTCAAGCAGACTCCCCTCTGAGTGCAGAGCCTGACACAGGTCTTGATCCCATGACCCTGAGATCGTGACCAGAGCTGAAACTAAGAATTGGACACCCAACTGACTGTGCCACCCAGGTGTCCCGAATGTTTAAATTTTTAAGAAACTGCCAGGCCATGTTCCAAAGTGGTTGTCACTTTTTACGTTCTTCCCAGTAGAGTATGAGGGTTCTAGTTCCTCCACAACTTCATAAAAATTTGGTCAGATCCATCTTTTACATTTTATTCTAGTATGAGTGAAGTGGTATCTCAGTGTGATTTATTTTACGTTCTCTCAATGACTAATAATATTGAGCAATTTTTATATGCTTATTTACCTTCTGTATGTCTTCTTTAAAAAAATATTTATTTTAGAGAGAGAGAGAGAGCATGAGTGGGAGGGACAGAGAGAGAAAGAGAATCACAAGCAGACTCCATGCTGAGTGCAGAGCCCGATGCAGCACTTGAACTCATGACCCTGAGATCATCACCTGAGCAGAAACCAAGAGTCGGAGGCTTAACTGGCTGAGCCACCCAGGTGGCCCTTCCTTCTGTATGTCTTTTTGGGTGAAATGTTTGTTCAGATGTATATTGGATGGTTTGTCTTTTGTTATCCAGTGGTAGGAGTTCCTTATGTATTCCGGATAGAAGTCTCTTGCAACATACGCATTTTGCAAGTATTTTCTCCCAATCTGTGGCTTCCTTTTCATTTTCACAGATGTACTTTGGCATCCTTGGCTATGTATGTGTGGGTCTATTTCTGGACTCTATTCTGTTCCATTGATCTTTGTGTTGTGTTTTTTTCTTTTGCCAACACCATATCATACTGTTTTGATTACTGTAGCTTTCTACTAAGTATTGAAATCTTATAGTGCAATTTCTCCAACTTGTTCCTCTTTTCCAAAATCAGGAGCTTTGCATTTCCATATTAATTTCAGAAGTGGCTACTCAGTTTACACAAATATGGCCTGCAGGGATTTTAAATGAGTTGGTATAGGCTTTATAGATCAATTTGAGCATTGACACCTTACCAGTATTAGGTCTTTCAATACCATCTCTCTCACTTTCTTTAGATGTTCTTTAATTTCTCTGAGCAATGTTTGGTGATTTCTTAGGGAGTATAAGTCTTGCACAACTTTGGTCAAATTTATCCCTACATATTTCATATTTTTGGTATTATTATTTTAAAAAGCATCATTTTATAAATCTTAATTTCCATGTATTCATTACCAATATATAGAAACAAAATTGATTTCTAAAATATATTGACCAGAAACCTGTTAAACTCACCTATTAGTTCTAGTGGCATTTTGGTAGATTCTATGAAGTTCTCTTTATAAATTATCAGGTCTGTGAATAAGGACAGCTTTACTTTTTATTTCTCATATGGTTGCTTTTAATTTCTTTTGATTGCCTTACTGTGCTGCTAGAACCTCTAGAACGACATTGAACAGAAGTAGAAAGAGCAGACAAATCTAGCTGATTCCTGATCTTAGAGGGAAAGCATAGTCTTTTACCATTAAATATGGGGCTAGCTGTAGGTTTTTTATGGATGCCTTTATCAGGCTGATGAAGTTTTATTCTATGCCAGTTTTCAGAGTTTTTATAATCAATGGATGTTTTTTTTATTAATTTTTTTATTATTATTTTTTTATTCTTCTGTTAATCCCCATACATTACATCATTAGTTTTAGATGTAGTGTTCCATGATTCATTGTTTGTGCATAACACCCAGTGCTCCATGCAGAATGTGCCCTCCTCAATACCCACCACCAGGCTAACCCATCCTCCCACCCCCCTCTCCTCTAGAACCCTGTTTGTTTTTCAGAGTCCATTGTCTCTCATGGTTCGTTTACCCCTCCGATTTCCCCCGCTTCATTCTTCCCCTCCTGCTACCACCTTCTTCTTCTTTTTTTTTTCTTAACATATATTGCATTATTTGTTTCAGAGGTACAGATCTGAGATTCAACAGTCTTGCACAATTCACAGCGTTTACCAGAGCACATACCCTCCCCAGTGTCTATCACCCAGTCACCCCATCCCTCCCACCCCACCCCCCACTCCAGCAACCCTCAGTTTGTTTCCTGCGATTAAGAATTCCTCATATCAGTGAGATCATATGATACATGTCTTTCTCTGTTTGACTTATTTCACTCAACATAATACCCTCCAGTTCCATCCACGTTGTTGCAAATGGCAATATCTCATTCCTTTTGATGGCTGCATAATATTCCATTGTGTATATATACCACATCTTCTTTATAATGGATGTTTGTTTTTTACAAAAGGGTTTTCTGCATCTATTACTGAACTGGTCCTGCTTTGTTTTTTTCTTACAGGCTGCTCATACAGTGAATTCCATGGATCAGTTTTCAAATACTAAACCAAGCTGTGCTCCTGAGAGAAACCCTCCACAGGTATTTTTATTGTCTCTTTACAAAAATTTGAGATTTAATTTGCTTGAATTTTATTGAGAATTTTTGCATCTGTGTGCATGAGAGACATTGTTCTCTAATTTTTTTTCTTCTGTCTTTTTCTGGTTTTAAAGTCAGGGTAATGGTGACCTCATAGAATGAATCAGGCAGTATTCCTTCCTCTCCAGTTTTTTTTAGAAGAAGAGTTTTTGTAGAATTGGTATTCCAGGCATACCTCATTTGAATGTGCTTCCCTTATAGGGCAGTTTCTACTAATTACAGATGTGCGGCAATCATGTCTCGGGCAAGTCTGTTGGCATATTTTTCCAAGAGCATTTGCTCACTTCATGTCTTTCTGTCACATTTTGGTACTTCTCACAGTATTTCAAACTTGTTCATTGTTATTATATCATTTATGGTTATTATATCATTATATGGTGGCATATATCATTATGGTTATCATTATTGGTGATCTTTGATGTTACTATCGTAATTGTTTTGGGATGCCATGAGTCATGCCCATATAAGACGGTGAACTCAATTGATAAATATTGTGTGTGTTTTACTGCTCCAGTTACTGGCCATTCTCTCATCTCTCTCCCTCCCTTGGGAGCTTCCCTATTCCCTGAGACA